ACACAACCCGCGACTACTTACAGTGTCCGACCGATGAGCGATATTTTATTCGAAAGAGCTCAAGTGACGCCTCAAACAAATTTGCGTCGCATGTCGCCGCCCTCAGACACCACATTGTTGAAGCCTTTATTGCTCTAAAACACCATGAATAACAGCGCTGCATTAAACAGCGATTTGTATATCTCTCTTCGTCTTTAGTCTCGCTGTTTACTGGGCTCAGGTGGGGTTTGATAAAAAGCGGTATCGAATTTGTGCTGCGCCTGGAACACTGACTCTGCCCCTTGTTCGTCGTGGCGCCATCGGACATCGCGTGGATGTTCACGTAGGTCTGGAAGGGGCCGCTGACCTCGACAGACTGGAAGCCGAGCTCCTCTCGCCAAAGCTGGTAGTTTTCGAAGCGGGTAAGTCCGATTCGCCCTTTTCTCGTGCCTGTGATTAGAAAAGCATAAATGCAGCTTTGCCCAGAATTAGTTTAACTATAGAAATTGAAGATGCTACACAAATTCAAAAAAGTAGGAGGTATTTAAGTTCAGTGTATGTACGCAAGGCCAATGCATGACATCGTTAGACAGCGTCTACTCCAGTGCTTGAATATACCAAGAAATAGTCATCACCTCAATTGTTAAACGTGTCTTCAATTTTGAACTGTACCGATTCTACTCCAGCAACCTTCATACCACATAACTACTTCGTTTCATTTTACAAATGTTTCTTATTTCTATGATTGTTCACCAATACACAAGTTCCTTCTAGTTTTGTCAGTTGTCATTTCTTCCTGACATGTGAAGTTGCAACACATTCAGGATCTTCATGCAGGCACAGTTTTGGGTCAATAAATAGCGATCCCTCTTAATGTAACCCTCTTATATTGCTAACTAATACTTCTCAGCAGGCTCATTAATCTTAATGCAGAGCACGACACTGTAGCCCTTTGAGGGTTTCACCTGTCTAGCATTGCTAGCCTTGCTGAATTTCGAAGACGAAGGCAGAATTTGCGAACCTCTTACTTATTTCATACAAGTAGTAAGTGGTCTGCTTGCATGTGCCAGGTGAGGCGCTCAAATACGTCAGGATACGCGTTGCCGTGGCAACTGAAAGGACGGCGATGGTGCGACAGCTCTTCTTCGTCAGTGTAAAGGCTCCAACTGCCGCAGTTCTTGACACCAACAATGAAGCCCAAATCATCGTGTCCGGTAACACCACAAATTTCATTGCTGAAAATTCTGTTGATCGAATCCTTATCAGCAGTGTTTTTGTAGGCAGAAGAAACTGTCGAAATCCGCCATATTTCGTCCCATTTAACGTGAGTAAAATTTAACTTTCCCCTTAAATTACAAACATGGTGCTTTATTGTGAGAGTTATCGACAAGAGAGGCCATCATTTGCTGGTCCCTTTGTGACTGTTAAAAGGCGGTTTTGCCATAGTAAGTTTGTTCGAGAGAAGGCAAGTGTGCTGTTAACGCCAAAAATCTGCCCGTTCTAAAAGGGCTCACGGACAGCGTCGGCGGACGGCAGGAAGGACGGCAGTCGAATGTCCCTGCACGACTGGCTGGCCTCCAACGTCATCCCAGATTCCAATGCCCTCAACAAGGCCTACCTGCGTTCCATGAAGAGGCGCAAACGTGGACCCCAATTTACCTGCGATTCTGGTAATTGTTCTCTCTCTTTTTAATTGTGGCTCCAAGTGCCACTCTAACACCGCAGTTCAAGCCGCCAGCATTCTGTCAATTCATAAACTGCTCGAGAATGTTGCGGATTTATTGCTGCACATGGCACCATGGTTTTGTTTTATGGTGAATTTCGCTTATTGCTAACAATTTACCTATATATTATTAGATGGACCTTACCACCGTGGCCTGACTGAGCCCTACACTGCTGGCAATATCATGTGACTTCATATCCAATCACAGCAACGGCATTCCCGAACCCAATTAGGTCGTAGGACCTCATGCCAGATGCTAGTCTGTCGCGTGTTCATCAAAATATTCTGTAGCACACAGGCGCTTAAGGAGTAAACTTGGAGCTATTCCAGTCCGTGAACCATCGGGCAGCTTGGCAATAGCCCGGTGTTGAGTCAGTGGTCGACACCAAGGTCACCCGATTCACAACCAGCACTTTCTATTCACCTTTCATTTCAGGCTGGACACTTTATAACAGCCGGTGTTACCGCTACTATCCAGGCCAAAACCGCACGTGGCTGGAGGCACGCGGGCACTATGAGGGCGAACACGGTTACCTGGCGAGTGTTGCGGACGCGGGGGTTGACGGCTGGCTCAAGGCCGTCCTCAATCCCCGGCCACCAGTCTGGATCGGTGAGAAGATGCTCTCGATGCCCTTGTTATTCAAATCCACATGTGATGAATCGAGTAGTATTGGTAGTGGTGGTAGTGTTGGTGGTGATGTAGTGGCTTGTGGCCTAGCACTACTTTACAACCCTTTAGGTAACAGCCCGCAACAACCCGAGAAGAATGGAAAATGAGGCGACAGAAGACACGACCGTTTATTAGCGTCACGCCAGCCAAGTATGTGTCTTAGTGTGTGGATGAGAGAGCGGATGTCAGGCATCGGATAGCAGTAAACAATGAAAAGGGGATGAGTCATTGTCACTGTCAGGTCAGTAAACGGGCCTCACTTAGGCGCCATCGCTGTTAATCCGCTACAGAGATGATGGTGATGATGACGATGATAGTAGTAGTAGTAGTAGTGGTAGCAGTATTAGCAAATGAGAGACTTTCGTGGATTTATATTCACGACAACTTTGGTGCTCAGCTACACCAGCGAATGCTTCCAAACACCGTGTTTTGTTTCGGGTTACACAATTTTCTACTTAAATAAATTGATTATTTCACCTGAACTTGCCTTGGTGTGAGGTTGCGGATTTGCTGACGTGGTAAGTGAGGTCGCAGTGAACCACAGACATGACTGTGGAGCCACCTGGATTTAGAAGTGACATGTGCTGAAACAAAGACACAGCGAAGCGTTATTAAAAAAATGCGGATTTTGTGAAAATGCGGCATGAGTGTGGTACTTTGATTGTATAAAAAAATATGAAATGAAATAAGTGTTCGATCTCAACCCAGATACATGTGGGATGACAATGTAAACTTATTCCTGATACAGGAATAGCCGGAATTGGAAAAGCTGCAGTAAATTTTGGGCCTCCTCCTGTCATGCACATCGGTAGAAGTCAATCATTTCTTAAAAACACGATAGCACTTAAAAGACAGACGCACCCGTGGTAGATGTGTGTCAGTACATGTGCATCAAATTCATGGAGAAAATCACAAAGTGGTTGCTACGTGTAACGTGTCTTCTGTTTTGTTTGAATTTTTTGCATTCCATATGTTGCCACAGATTCGAAAGAACAAGTACTATTGTCATTAATTTTGATCGAAATTTTCAGAGAGAATTCATACGATTGGTCTCCAACGCCTTTCATTTTCTACTCTTTTGTGATCGGAAAGAAAATTGTGCACTGCAGAGAACGCGCATTTATCCCGGGTGTGATTTCAATCTGTCTGAAAACTGAACTTGATTATTGGCTGATGAAACACCAAGCCTTAAGAACTAGAATGCATTTTCAAAGAATGCAAGCACATTGGTTCAGTACTTGAGCGTAAAGTCGCCTTGAGACCGAATCAGTCTGGTGACACATCCAAAGCCGTTGCTACCCTCTGTTTGCACTTTACTGATGGCTTCTTCAAACATCAAATTGTCAGCACAACACGTGCTTTCCGCTCATCTCATCATTTTGGAGAAATTAGTTAGTCACAACGGGAACTGGCATCGCTTTCTCTTTATTTTATAAAGCCATAAAAACCGTTGGTACTACACGATTAATTTGTGAGTTGTCGATTCCTGAGGTCGTGACACGCAAGTTAATATGTTGGTGGCAGGCTTACTTATCGCTGCCTCTTACACAACCACCAACCTGACTGGGAGGTATTTGACAGGCATAAGCAGTCATTCTAAATCATTTGATCGCGGGCATTCCATGATATTTTTTTTGTTTTGTTGAGATAGTTTAGTGCCGTCACTCTCATTACTGTTTGTCTATTGTGTTGACAAAGAAGGATGTCCTCTGCAACCGATTAATTTTGTGAGTTGTCGATTCTTGCGGTCGTGACACGCAAGTTAATATGTTGGTGGCAGGCTTACTTATCGCTGCCTCTTACACAACCACCAACCTGACGGGGAGGGATTTGACAGGCATAAGCAGTCATTCTATATCACTTGATCGCAGCTATTCCTTGACAGTTTTTCTTGTTTTGTTGAGATAGCTTAGTGCCGGCAGTCTCACTACTGTTTGTCTACTGTGCTGACAAAGAAGGATATCCTCTGCAACTGATTTGTATGTGTTTATAATGTGCCCACTGTGTTTGCTCAACAGGCCTACATAAGCCGGTGTTGAATGGCGCCTGGGCATGGCACAGCATGGAGCAGACAAATTACACCAACTGGGACGTAGGGTTCCCGCGACGCCTTCGTGCCGGTCGTGAGGTGCACAATCGACGTGGGCGAATGGGACGTCATCGTCGTCGTCTGTTCCGCCGACATTCGCACGCCTCCCTCCAACAGCCTTTGCCTCGCCCGCACTTCCACACCACCTGGCAGAGCTCGTCCACGTACAGTGGACGTCTCCGTCGATCGATTAGCGATCAGCCACAG